GAATTCCTGTTGAAGAGAAGCCTAAAAAGAGGAGGACTTGTGAGAATGTTGCTCAGGCCCCTGAGACTGAGTATGCAACAGAAGATGAAACTGAGCAACTCGAATACAGTCAGACTGAATCTGAGCATGAGCAAGAAGAATATGAAGAGAAACCATCCAAATTTGCAGTGAAACCAAAGGCACCTCCCAAAAGTGCACCAGCACCTCTGAACTTCGCAGATCTCTTAAGGCTTGCTGAAAAAAAACAGTATGAACCAGTAGAAATAAAAGTAGTGAAAAAGGTAGAAGAAGAGAGACCCAGGACAGCAGAAGAATTGAGAGAGAGGGAGTATTTGGGACGCAAAAACAAAAGAGTAGAAATGCATAAGAAAAATGAGAAGGAGATTAGAAATACAGGGATATCCAGTTCTTCAAAAAAAGTAATTGCTCAGAAAGATTCTGTAAATGCAAAACTTAAAAAAAGCTCAGTAGATAAACATCCCACACCAAAAGGCAGTCTGTCATCTTCTATGAGTGGTACTGATAAGAAATTCAAAGCACCAGCATTGACTGAAAAACACTCACGGTCATCATCTTCCTCTAGATTTGAGCAAATGGAGAAAAACTCACAAAATGGCTCTTTAAAAAGCTCTACTGGTAGCAGTCATACTAAAGTACCTGTCAATGGTATTGGAAAGTCTGGCTCAAGCTCTCATGTGCCACCCTCAAAACCAGCAGCCAATGGGGCTCAGAGGTTACCATCTGCTAAAGAATCTAGCCTGAAAAAGGCTGTCCATACAAAATCAGGAAATGCTGCAGCCCTTCAGCATGGAATCAGCTCCAATGCAAAACGATCAGGCAGCAGCTTAGGAAAAGGAGGACCTGGACATCCAGGTGGTGGTCCAAGTGCAGGACCTGGGCGATCAAGCAGCAATTCTGGTGTAGGTCCTGGAAGGCCAGGAAGTGGTTTAAGCCCAGGACCTGGGCGACTGGGCAGTGGCTCAGGCACAGGACCTGGAAGGCCAGGCAGCAGCTCAAGCCTAGGACCTGGGCAACTGGGCAGTGGCTCAGGCACAGGACCTGGAAGGCCAGGCAGCAGCTCAAGCCTAGGACCTGGGCAACTGGGCAGTGGCTCAGGCACAGGACCTGGAAGGCCAGCTGGCAGCTCAAGCACAGGACCTGGGCGACCTGGCAGCAGCTTGGGCACTGGACCAGGAAGGCCAGGCATCGGCACAAATGCAGGACCTGGGCGACCAGGCAGCAGTGCAGTTACAGGACCAGGAAGACCAGGAGTCAGACCGAGTACTGGACCTAGGCGACCCAGCAGCAGCTTGGGAACAGGACCAGGAAGGCCAGGAATCAGTCCAAGCGCAGCGGCCAAGCGACCGGGCAGCAGCTTGGGAACAGGACCAGGAAGGCCAGGCATCAGCCCAAGTGCAGGACCAGGGCGACCAGGCAGTGGCTTGGGTACAGCTGTAAAACCGAAGTGTACTGTGGTGTCAGAAACTATTTCTTCTAAAAACCTGGTCACAAGACCTAGCAATGGACAGATAAATGGAGCAAGATCTTTTCAAGGACATAGACCTGTGTTACATCCACAAGGTATAAAGTTCTAGAGCAAATAATTTTGTCACTCAGTTATTTGGTTATTTGGTTTTTATTTTTATATGTGCCTGAATTGAGGTCACTGAGGGTCTTGGACAATTTACAGATGAAACTGGGAAGACTGGTACAAAATACTGTATTTGTCTTTTAAGGAGTGCATTTAATAGTAGAATGTTTTTTTCTGCTTTGTAGTTTTTTTTAATCTTACCTATGCTCATATTCATTGAAACACAGGCCTGGGGTGTGAAGTATTTACATGAAGGAAATCTAAGCAGCCTGTGACAAATGTTGGCATACAAATGCTTTTAGAAGGAAAAGAATTGAAGGTTGCCCTTCCTGCATTGCTTGATTATGCTTAGTGTTGAAAATGTCATAGTGCCTTAAATAACAGATGCTTAAAGCGTGACTGAGATTTAAGTGTTTTGGCAAACTCACCTAATCAGTAAGCAAGCAGTTCTAAACATTTCTTTCTGAACAGAAACAAGCAACATGGACTGTAGCAAATAAGTGCCTAGAAAACTCTGAACAAGAACATAGACTCTCTGGTAGTTTTCTTCAGGATGCAGTTGATGATTATATATAATCTTCTGTTGCACAACTCAGAGGAAGTATTTCCTACTACTTAGTTTTCTGAGAATTGCTAATTAACTTGGGACAGAAGTTTTTCACCTTGAAGACCAAAGTTGTAAAATGTTTGTGTCTGAAGTAAGTAGTACTGTTAAATTAACGTTATACTAATATTAATGATTTTTCTCACTCCCTTGTCTTTTAGGTCTCGGAAGACCACCTGTTGGTTACAAGAGACAAATAGAAGATGATGATGATGATGAATATGACTCTGAAATGGATGACTTCATTGAAGATGAAGGGGAACCCCAAGAAGAAATATCAAAACATATTCGGGAAATATTTGGCTATGACCGGAAAAGGTAAGAAAAATGTCAATTTTAAGATACTGCAGAACAAACAACAGAACAAGAGAAATTAAGGTTGTTCAGTAAATAAAAATGTTTTAGAAATGGGGACATGCTGATATCCAAAATTATTTTTGCATTGCATAAATTTAACAAGCATTAGAGTTGCTTTTCTGGTAGAAGGGACCTCGAATTTCACACTGCTTGCTATGCTTTTCTGAGCAGCAGTAAAATCTGATGCAATGGGACATAGCTGGAAAACAGCATAGCTTCAGTGTTTCACCTGTATAATTCTTAACAGCTCTCCTGTTATTGAATGGTAAAATACTTTCTATACCAGTCAGCAATATTTCAGGATTAATCACATCTAGCTGCCTGAATATGAACTACTAGATGGAATAGCTGTTCTGTGAGAGGATCTAACTTGGTATAACGAGGTGCTGGAAAAGCAAGGCTCTTACTTAGCTTATTTAAATATTTCCTTGTCTGACAATAAGGTATCAGAATGCAACCATTTTAAGGCTTGTAACGTAGATTCTTTCAAAACACTAGAATCTGTGTATGGCAAGGTAATTCTTTCTAAGAAAGGCTGTGAATTAATAACTGAACTGTACAGTATGTTTTTTTTGTGCGCTGAAAATCTAATGTTAATTTCCAGATACAAAGATGAAAGTGATTATGCCTTACGTTATATGGAGAGCAGCTGGAGAGAGCAACAGAAAGAAGAAGCTAGGAGGTATGCCTGGGTTGAAACTCAGATAGAAAGTGGACAGTTTATTGCCCAAGTCATGAGGCTAAGCTAGAGTGGATAATTGCTGCTTTTTATAGCAGAGGAAAATAAGCCTTACAATTTTTTATAAAAAAGTGTAGGTAAAGATTAAACTCTGCCATCCAGTGATGGGTACAGTAAATAAATCTCATATGTTTGTTTTCATGCATCACAAACTTTGTAAAGTTTGTAAACAAAAACAACAAAAGCAAAACAAAACACAAACCAACCAAACAAGCAAAAAAAACCCAACAAAACCAACTTATGCCCAAAAATATTTTAAAACTTTAAGTTTCAGTCAAAATACTAAACCTTTCAATTTGTTACAAACATTACAAGTCCTAGGTTGAGTACTTGAATAAGATTTGGTCTTATCTGTGTATGTTTGTGTGTATATTTCTATGCAAGTGTAAAAAGTACTGTGACTAACTTCTTACTCAGTGATTTTAAATATTAATATTATATTTTCATATTGGTTTTGACCATTGGTTTTGGCCTCTACATGTACACAATTCGTATGTCACTATTATAAAAGCTGGTGGTCATAAACTGATTTTCTTTAAAGGCTGGTGGAGCAAGCTTTGTGAAAGTTGTAAGAGGTTTTTATAGATAATGGAAAAAATACTGGAATATACTGAGCACATTTTTTGTTATTTGTAAGGTACCTTGAGCGCTGGAAACTTGAATTGTTTTGAAGATACAGCCATTGTCTTTATTCCTCCTTGCTCCGGGGAAACAGCTGCAGCTCATGAAAAGCTACAGTCTGCTAAATGGAGTCAGAGGGAAACAACTGGGAATTTAGTGATACTGCTATTGACCAAATTCTCTGCTGAAGACCTAGAGTGAGGTTTTGCAGAGTTGAACACCTGGCTAACTTTTAACTGCACGTGCTAGTGTAAAGGATGGGGTGATAACAAACTTGAGTAAAATTGAATTTTAACTGGTTTTAGTGCTTAGCTACTTTTCACTGAGTTTGATTCAAAGCACTGTGGTGCTTGAAATGAGGAACTTTTTCTAACCAAGCAAGCCCACTGAAATTATAGTTGTGAAGTTCTTGAGCTTTTTGCACCAAGGTGCATGCTACACTGACTTATGTTGCTTCCAAGTGAACTATGGATGTAAAAATGTATTTGGTGGGGCTGCAAATGAGACAGTAGCTGCTCAAGACATGGTAACTTTGCCACTCCTGTTACTAATAGCAAGCTAGCAAGACTATCCAGCCCTTATTTATTGAAGCAGAGATCAGTGATTCCAGATAATGTTTTAAATATCACTTTCAACAGACAGACTTCTAGGAAGCTGAGGAAATTATGCAGGAATGTAACTAGAACATGTTTTCTTAGAGTCTTTCATGGGCCTGTTCATCTGTCATAGCAGCCAAACGAACTGAGCATGGAGCAACTTTATGCTTGTGCTACCTGAATGGTGCCTCAAGCCAGGAAGTTGGTACAATACCTTTCACTTCTCTGCTGTTTGACATATCCATTCACTCCCTTGCTGAAGTAAAAGATTTAGGTGGCTTTCAGAATTTCGTGAGTCAGGCCTGCTATGACTTGTATGTAACAGATACGTCAGCAAGAACCGATGTTTCAGCAGCTTCTTTTCAGAAAAAAAGAAATCTTGCACATTGAATTTTTTCAGGTTTTTTTAAAGTTAAAAAAAATAATCCATCGATTTTGTTTTAGTCAATGATAAAATCTTGGATTTTTTTTCTTAAAGCTGTGTATTCTTGCTATAAAGAAGATTTGTGATTGTTGAACTGATCTAACATTTTTGTTGAAATCGGATGTAATACTTTTAGGATTGCTTTTCTGGGGGGAGGGGTAGAAGTCACATTTCATGTTTCTTGAGTAGCACTGTGTAAAAGATTTCATCTTATTTGACAGCTTGAGACTTGGTGTTCAGGAGGACTTGGAAGAATTGAGAAGGGAAGAAGAAGAATTAAAGCGCAAGAGACAGTCTAAGAAGCTGAGGACACGTTAATTGACTTCTGGTGTTGACTTTTTCCATGTTCCTGCTATCCTCTGCCTCCATACATCTCTTATTCTACTTCAGTTTCCATTTGCTTGTTAGAGGGCAAAAGAATATTTAAAGGGATTAAAGTACTGAAAAGCAAGGCTTTAGTTGGACCTAAATAAGATATTTATTTTTAATACTTGCCAGGGTTGGTTTTTTATGAAGAAATTAATGCACTAATGCATATTATTAAGTGGAATAAATTTAATAGATGATTCCATTGATTAAATCAGTTCAAGATGCCAGCAGAAATATTGACTAGCTATGCACTGACTTGGAACTGTGTGGGCCCATGTACCCAGAAACTAATGTTGCATTTGCTTGAAAGAAAGGAATAGCATTCTTGTTTCCTGATTTCTTGAGACTTGGAGAAATTGCTTTATGTCGTACTCTTGTCTCCCAACTTGAGCCTCAAAGTATTGAAATGTCATCTTCTATACAGAAGCAGCTTGGGTGTAAATTCAGCTGTTGCCACAGATGTTCAAAGCAATAAAGTGCTGCCTATTTTCTGGTTTGAGGACCCATCAAAATAATTTGAACCTCTTTCTTTCTAAATAGAAAAGTGCATGTCCTTTGCAAATTGTACAGTTATAGATATGGGCAAATTATTATGTTGGCTTTCGCTGAGTCTGGAATGCCAGTCTAAGTATGATAAATACACATCCTGAAAACAAATTGCTGGTGTTTGTATGTGACTTGTGCTTTTGGGCTCAAGTGTATGCTTGGGAATTCTTTCCTGCCCTGTACATCTTCACATTTAACAGCTGCTGCTGCTTTTACAAATTGTGTACGATGCACATGTTTTTTCTTGCATTAAACATCCGATGTGTTAAATGATTTAAAATGTGAAGCAGTCATTTATCTAATTAGGCTTACTATTTAGAAAGCACATCAGAATTAAGTTTTGTTAGAATATATTTGCAGCTTTTAAATTTTAAGAACTTTGTGTTAACTAGTTAATGCTTGTGATTAGTTGTATCAAACCAAAAATCTACATTTATACATAAAGCAGGAGAGTTAGTTCAGTTACTTACCTTAATGCCCATATTTGCACAGTATTTCTAACTATGCACTTGAAGACTGTTTCTGTCAGTAACTGAATTTGTTTACAATCAGCACAGGGCTCATGTAAGTCTATAGTAGTTGTACTGAGAGTCTGAAGCTCAAATCTGGTGTTGTATCTACTTTGATTCTTCCAAGTTGCTCTTCAAAACTCACCAGTATCACCACTCAGCTTTGCCTCAAGCTCCAGTACTCCACTGATAGTACTTCTTACTTCAGCTCCTGAGGCTGTTATGTTTTAATGGTAGAAGTACTTGGAAAGGTACAAAAAGGGCATTGGGTGTTGTGGGGGTGGGGGTTGGGAGAGGAAGTAGTAAAGGAATAAAAAGGAAAAAATACATTATAGAAAAATGACAAAGGAACCTTTCCTATCAGGGGCCATTCATAACAATGCTGCTTCTAGGAAGTAGTTTGGATAGCAACCTGTAAGGAACAATCTTGGAAGCTGCTGAAGTTTAAACATCTGACTCTTAATGTAAGAAAAAACAGATTTGCCTTTTTAAGATGTTTTTTGTGTACGGTGTAGCATTTCACTGCCTCAGTAAAACAATGACGTGTAAGCTGTTGGGATAGTTTCTGGAAACTAATTCAGTATTAGATGACAGGGAGCCCAGATGAAGATACCAGAATTGCTCCTCTGTATTTTTAACTTTCTACATCGACTAAAATACTCTTTCTCAGTGAAGTGAACTTACGATCATGCAAGGTAGTGTAACGTCACTGCTTGTCTACAAGTGTTTTATTCACTCTGCTTCATTTAGACCATCTAAAATTTTGTATTGCAGTTCCTAGAACTATCCATTCAACACAACACTGGGACCATGATAAAGTTACTGTTTGGGTTGTTTTACTTTTTTAGTTCTTTCTAGCCGGAGAAAGGCTCTAGGTCTGTCAACCCAGACAGCTGTATCAGTTGTGAGCAACTTCCTGCCTGGATGGGGAAAAAAGTCTCTTATGAAGCAAAAGAAATATATTCATTCAAAAGGTATTCAGTTGGGAATTAAATCTGCATTTCAGATAAATGCAACCTGATTATTTCACCACTTTCTGATTATTTAATCATGCAAGATCAGTTAAATTTCTTAATCTGTAAAGCACTTTGTCATTTGTCCTTTAAATGATGACTGGAATGTACTCTGCTAGCCTCCCTAAGACACTGTATAACTGTTTCTTCACACAATGATTGCTTAAATTTTGTCTATTTCATACCAAAATGATTCAAGGATGCATTTGTAATTTTACAGTCAAGAAGTACTTTCTCATAATTGGCACAGAATGTTAATGTTTTTTGAATTTTATACAAATGTTTGGGTATTAATGTGTTGGCATTTGCTGCGTATTTGTAAATCAGCTAGGAAGAAACTAAGTCTGGGGCTTTTGTTTCCTGACCTTGTATCCAAAAATATGTTTACTGTTTGCCAGGGCAATAGTATTAATCTAATGAGAGGACTTCAGTACTTGTCCAAAGTGCATCTAAATTTGAGCTTAAGGAAAACTGAACAAATGCTTATATTGGTTTATGTGGATCTGATGTTAAGCTAATTATTTAATTGAATTTAATGAAATTCTGGTTTGGTTTTTAGATATTTTAATTCACTGTTTGACAATGTGCCTTTTTAACTAAATTGTGTCCAAAAAAAATGAATGTAGGAATATAAAGTTGGTTGGTTTCTGCTATCTCTGATTTTGTATCCTTAAATTTGACAGTGTGAAATTACATACTTTTCATAAAACCCTTCCAGGTCTGGCTTTGATTGCACAATTACAGTAGCTACTTCTTTACTGCTAATGCTAAATCAAATGAGGGGCACTTTCTATTGATGACTACTTTTTGAAAATGTCTTGTATTTACATTGGAGCTGTATTTCACTTCACAGCGATGTCTTTTGGAGGCCAGGGTTTTGCATATCACAGGAAGCCTTAGTGTGCAACTCTGTGCTGTGCTTTAAAATAAAAATCTTTCAAGAAGTATATGAGATCTCTATGGAAATCTGGATTTATTTTTGTGTAAAGCCCAAAATATTGTCCAGGAAAACTAACTTTCTATTTTTTTTGCATTTTGTAACATAATCTAGTAGCTGATGCATATTTCTAGAGACAACATATTTCTGGAGACCAAAACATGTCAAAGAAAATAAATATATGGAGAGATTGGTGTTTAAATTGTGATGAATGTACTTGTATTTATTTTGGTGAGTGGGTGTGATGAAATATTAAAGTTTTAATGTGTAAATAAGGGTGTTTCTAGTTTTAGCCAATGTTGTGGGGTTTTTTCCTTTGGGGATATTTGTGCACAATGTCTTTTTACACAATGTGACAAATCAGGTTAAAAACTCGTACGTAGCTTAACTTTCCTGGTGCTGTCAAGAAAGTGTATACTTTTGCACACACCAAATGCATCTAAGTTTTGCTGAGTATGTATCCAATAAATTACAGGCATTAAACATTTTACTGCTATTTCTCATTGGTTTACTTTATGGAAGATTTTTCAGAATTCTTGTCTGCTGTTTCCTCTGAGCTGTTACATACAACAGCCTTAGTCTGAGTGTTCTCCAAGAATTGTTCTCTTGTTTTCATGGAGCCAGCAAGAATGCATGAAAAATTAATGGAGTCACTTAAGTATTCAGAGAAGATCTGAAAATCATTGGTATCTCCTGCAGTTTGGGCTTGTGACATAGTATATATTTGCAGGTACATGTATTTTAGAATTCTAATGTACATAAACATACCTGTTGCCTTTAATCTCTCACAGTATGAGTCATGTTTCATAAGCAGCATCTTTCTTGGATTCTTATTCCCATGTAAAGAACCTGAACTTCCATGACTGCTGTCTGCTATGAACAGTTTACTGCTTTGCCGGGTAGAGGTGACTGTTCTGAGCAGCTAGTATTGCTGATCACTTACAAGCAGGTAAATGAACACACATCAAAGTGAGACCATCTGCCTTGCCTTTGAAACAGCAATGCCTGTATACTCTTGTACTGAAATATTTTTAAATCAGATTGCAAAATAGGATTTGATCAGTGTCCTACAAGTAGGCTTTTTTTTAAGGCATGAAATCTTAGCTTCTTTGGAATGACCTTGTATGGAATTCCCTTGAGATTTTTAATGTATCTTAACAGCTGTAATCAGTTGCTGTCAGCCATTATTTCAAAGCAGATATATTCTGTTCAGGCAAAGGGTGATTCTACAACAAGTTATTACCTTTACTGGCTGGAAGCAAAAAAACTACTCAAGTTAGGAAAAAAGATTTCTCTCATTTGAGGGCAGTTTTAAATTGTATTTTATTTGCAATAACATTTTAGCTCCCCAACACAGAATTTCAATTTAGTCTTCCCATGGATGGCCTTATAAGTTGAAATGCATGTGGAAAAATTTTTCCATGAGCCCAAGGATCCGAAAAGCTTTTGGCATATATTTTGTGGGATTAAACACAGAAGAGGATCCTGAAGTAATGAAATGTCACCAGTTTAGTCTTAACTTTGCTATCCACTACTGATGTTTAGTGGTGGTTTCCCAAACCATCAACCACCTGCTGCTTAATTTGCATTGGTGATTTTTCTCTGTTCAGTTCCTCATAGGAGCCTTGTTTTTTACCTATATCCTTTTTCCTGCACTGGCAAATTCAGAAAATTTTGTGCATGCTGGATGCAACTTCTGCCCAGTTTCTCAACATTGCTCAGTAGTGCTTGATGCCACCTCCTCTCATGTTGCATGTGTGAAAGTTGGTAGCAATTGACAAGGAGAATCAAAAGCTTGGGTTTGGTGTTTTTTGTTGTTGAAGGAATTGTCTTGAAAAACACTGGAGTGTGACATTCCAGGTTTTACAGTGCAGTTGGAATAACTATGAGAGCATACTTAGGCATACACTGAGTGTAAAAGGATGTTTTTTAGTGCCTTACATGTGTTTCTCCATGTATTTAACTGCTTTTCTGGACTCTTCACAAGAGGTAAATTCCTTGAATGATGCAGCTAAGAATAAATGGTGTTAGTTATGGGTCTGTTCTCAGTGCCCTATCACAGTAATTCTCCCCCTTGCC